GAGCTGGTTCCAGGACAGGAACCAAGCTACAGAGACACCCTGTCTTGAAAAACAAACAAACAAGCAAACAAACAAAATTAATGATTCTGGCATGGCTCAGGATGGACAAGCAAGTGGGGAAGGGAGGCTGAGGATCAGCTGGGACCTGGCCTGGGACTAGAGTGTCTGTGGCCCTTCTTCCTGTGATGGGCTATCCTTCAGCCCAGAGAGCCCCCAAGGAGCCAGCACAGCGGCTCCAGGCTCAGGTTCTCTGCTGGGAACACCTCTCACATTTTAAAATTACACTTGTGTATTCTTTGGGGGTTTATGCGCAGGCCATGTGTAGGGTCAGAAGACAGCTGAAGTCTTGTGACTGAAAAGGAATTTATAGGAGAACCTACAGTAGTGTTTGCGCATTGAGTGATCCTGCTCCCTGAGACATCTCCCTTACTCATCTGTATGTGGTTGCTCTCATAGGGCTTCCGAGAGGCTGGGCCCTCTGAGAAGCTACCCAGTCTGGGAAAGGTCACTCTGCCTTCATCCCGATCTCCCTCACTCATAGTCTGTTGGGGTAATGTACCGGCCAGGACACATGGTCATGAGGACAGAGGCAAGGTCTGGGGAGCCACTGTGAGTTCTAGGGTGCTGGAGACGGGTGAGTGTGTGGAGGAGCAGGCTGTGTGTGAGTGAGGCGGCCTGGAGGTGTGCCTGTGGACAGGCAGGTTGAGGGGCAAAAAGCCAGAGTTTCCATCAGGAGTAGGTTTGGGGGGTAAAAGGGATCCCAGAAGAATCTTAGCCTAGCCCAGGACTTGAAGTTACAGGCTGGGTTTAAAGATAGAAATATCCCTTTCTGTCCCCTGGGAACCATGTCCCCTCTCCCCCAGGCGACCCAGTGGAACCCCAGAGAAAGACCTGTGCAGTGTTATGGCACCCTACTTCCTGCAGCAACGGGATGTCCTGTGCCACCGAGTGCAGAAGCAGAAGGCCAAGAACCAGGACCTGGCTGATGCTGTCCTGGCCGGGCGCAGGCAGCTGGAGGGGCTGCAGCAGCAGATCCAGGCCCTCCAGCAGACATGGCAGGCAAGTGTTTGGCTCAGCCTGTTTTCTCTTGTCTCAGGCCCCCTGGCTTGGCTTCCTCTCTCCCAGCCTAAGGGATCCCATGGGAGCAGTGCGGTCGTGCAGCACCCTTGCTCGGACATGCGAGCCTGACTCCTCAGTTCCTGTGCTGAGGTCCAGTGCAGCACGTGTTCCTCTACAGCTGCTACGTGAATGGAAGCAGAGAGGGCAAGAGCCTGGGCGCAGCTACTGCTGCTGTAGACACGACCAGTGTCCTTAAAGAGCATGTGTCAGAAGGACCCCAGAAGCTGATGACATGGGTGTGAGTTCTAGCACTCACATGGTAGCTTACACCCCCACTCCCAAGGATCTGTCTGCTCTTCTGGACTCTGTGCACATTGGAAACATAAACTTAAAAAGACTGCAGAGCCTCTGGTGGTTGGGAACATGTGCCAGCAAGTGTGCATCCCTGAGAGAAAGCCAGCTTCTGAATTGGTCCCAAAGGACTTGTGAGCTCGTGGAGCCGGGTGATGCAGGTGGCAGGTGTGACTGGAGCAGTGAGATTGCGTCTTAGCTGCTCCAGGTGCGCCTGAGTGGGCCTCTCCATCTGCCACATAGATGCCCAGTGTGCCTAGTACAGCAGATAGCCACTTTCTAAGGCAGATCGTCCAGCTTCCAAAGCTCATGGCTCCCAGGTTTCTTCTGGTTCTCTCTTTTGCAGCCTGCCAGCCTCAGACAGGTAGCAGCAGGTGGAAGGCTGTTGTAAGGAGGGCCTCTTCTTTGTCCCAGCTACCCAGCTAGCCTAGCTCCAAAGTAACCACACAGAAACTGTATTAATTAAATCACTGCTTGGCCCATTAGCTCTAGTTTCTTATTGATTAATTCTTACATATTAGGTTAACCCATTTCTATTGTTCTGTGTATCACCACGAGTTCGTGGCCTTTCAGCAAAGTCTACCTCTGGCATCTCTCCGACTCTGCCCTTTCTCCCAGCATTCAGTTCTGTCTTCCCTGCCTACCTAAGTTCTGACCTATCAACAGGCCCAAAGCAGTTTCTTTATTAACCAATGAAAGCAACAAAAAGACAGCAGGACCTCCTACACGAGAAGGCCTGTCCCCATCCCTTCCAGTCTCCCAGTGCTTGGTCCTTAGGTACTTAAAGCCATCTTGGTGGATCCTCAGCCTCTCCATCCCCAGGAGACTGCCTAGTGCTCCCATCTCCCTGGATAACAAGTTGTCCAAATCATGGTTCCTGAACCTGTCAGCTCTTCTCCTGACAGCCACAACGCCAGCCCAGCTCCCATCCTGGCCTTGTCTGAAGTACAGCAGCTGGGTCAGATGTTCAGTGCTGACCCTGGGCGGGAGCTTCAAAGCCTCTTTCACTGCCTCACTGCTCAGTGACTGCGCGTTGTCCAGCAGGCCCTGGGTTCTGCTTTTAGCACTAGAGGGAAGGCAAAGGAGCTGGAGCTACTTGGGAGTCCTTTATTTATTTACTATATATACAGTGTTCTGTCTGCGTGTATGCCTGCAGGCTAGAAGAGGGCACCAGATCTCATTACAGATGGTTGTGAGCCACCATGTGGGTGCTGGGAATTGAACTCAGGACCTCTGGAAGAGCAATCAGTGCTCTTAACCACTGAGACATCTCTCCAGCCCCGGGAGTCCTTGTTGAACATGGATTCTGCTCTTGAGAGGTCCTGCAGAGGTGGCTAGGGCATCCAGATGGCCATAAATACTTAGTGGTAGGGACTTCCCACTTGTCTTACTTGATGAGCCACAGATCCATCCACATTGTTGTAGGGGACCTGGGCTGGGAAGGGGCCTGGCACATGGGGTCTGTTTTCCTCATACCCCACACATTGTTCTCTTCTTTGGTTTCAGGCTCTTCACAGAGAGCAGAGGGAACTGCTGTCAGTGCTGAGGGCACCTGAGTGAAGAGCCACCAGACCCCAGCACAGAGGGCAGTCATGGTCCTATGGAGTCTGTCCCCACACACTACCTTCAGATTCCTGCCACCATCTTCTGCCTGGAAGACTGGCACTCCCACACTGGGCATCAGACACCAGGCTTTGTCTCCTGGAGTCGTAGCTAGCGTTGGCCCCACGCCCTCCTTCTGGTTCTCCAAGCCCTCCCTGGACTAGACTCTGGATAGTGTTTTCAGTCTGCACTGATTGCTGCCTTTCTGAACAGCCTAAGGGCCCTTGCCATGTTCTCCCCACATCTGTAAATAAACTTCCTCTATCACACTGTAATCTGTGAGGATGTGTCTTTGCCAGGCGCCTGGGGTCAGGACCACTTCTGGACTCTTAGGCTCTGTCTGTATTCAAGACATCAGTCTGAGGGCTCTGGAAGCCTACAGGCTAAGGAGTTGGTTGTTTTGTAGCAGGACCCGGGACCATGAGGTTCCCTGAGGTCAGGACGAGCTGCTGTGTGCCGCTCTCAGGGGCACAGAGTGGGGTGAGGTCCCAGCATAACTAAGCACTTTACCTGTTTCTCCCACCCCAGTCTTCCCTAGGGTGGGGCAGATATTCTTTTTTCCTTAACCCAAGGGCTGCTCATGTAGAGGACAGAAGACACCAAGGTGATCCTGTGCTGTCACCTGTCACCATTGTGAATTCAGGTTGATGGCCAGGTGACTGCAGACAGTGAAGACAGGTCAGGGGTGGGAGTAGCAGGTCTGTAATCCCAGCACTCTGGAAGCAGAGGCAGGAAGGGCTGAGTTTGAAGCCAGCCTGGGCTACATCCTGAGACCATCTCAAAAGAACAAAAAGGTCAGACAGGTCACACACAATACCAGGTCACCTTCTCATTCCCCACCCCACCCTGGCTGAGACAGTGGTGGCTCTCAGGTGGGAGACGGGGCCATGGTAGGATGCTCTGTCCCCGTGAAGACGGGAATAGGCCCCATCTGAGGTTGACACTGGGAGGCTACCCTGACAGGATGGAAACCGCGGGCTCAGAACCCAGACGTGTGTTCTGTGCATGTACATCTTGCAGGTCTTCCCACCAGGGTCCACCTTCCTGGTCTGTGTTGGTCCGTCACTGTGCCAGAACTGAAGAGGCCATACTCACCTTTGTCAGCCAAGGTCTGTGAACTTTTCTCCTGGTCCCATTCGACCTGTCTTAGTTAGGGTTACTAATTACTGTGATAAAACACAACGACCAAAGCAGCTTGAGGAAGAAAGCTTCACTGGCTTCCACTTGAGTATCAATGTCCATCGAAGGAAGTCAGGGCAGGAAGTTGGAGTCAGGAGCTGAAGCAGAGGTCATGGAGGATGCTGTTTACTGCCTTGCTCCCCATGGCTTGCTCAGCCCGCTTTCTTCTAGAACCCAGGACCACCAGCCCAAGATGGTACTATCTATCTACCCTGGGCTTGGCTGTCCCCTTCGATCACTAATTTAGAAAATGGAGGCCTTGTGTCAACTGAAGCTTCCTTTCAAGTTGACAGAAAACTAAGGACACACCACCCACCCTTTCCCCACTTGAACTGAGCTTTCTGTGCTGGGCAAATGAGGACATTGCTGGCCGCTCCTTTCCTGGGGTTTGGCTCCTGCCCTCGTGGCAGGCACTGAAAATCACAGGCTATGGGACCTGGAGCCCAGTTCATCCCAAACCTATTTTAGACCTTTGCATTATCTCTAGGGTACTCATAGGGCCCAGCCAGTGCTCTAGCTAAGGCTGAGAGAGATACAGAGACTAGGAGAGGAGGGGCAGCCCCAGGCGGAAGAGGTCCGGGCAGAGTCAGTCTGGCAGCCTCTGATTGTGGCCCACACTCTACAACCAGGGCCTCGCCCAAGGCAGCTGCAATCACCAACCACAGCATCCCTTGGGTTTGACATGTTGAGCCAGGGCACATGACCCCCCAATTAGTCCTGGCAGCATCCCCTGCCCCGTCTGCTCACACTGGGGGCACAGGCAGTGGATATAAGTGGTACTGGAGGCTGAAGGGCACAGAGCAGACAAGTTCCACACAGCATCCTAGTGCAGAACTGGTAGGCACCATGAGGACCCTCTCTCTGCTCACTCTGCTGGCCCTGGCTGCATTCTGCTTCTCTGGTCCAGCAGGTGCGTTTCCTTCTTGTTCACTTCTAGGGATAACCGTACTCCTGAAGGGTGTCAGGAAGCAGAGCTAGCTGCTTACTCTTTTCTTTACAGATGCAAAGCCCAGGGGCTCAGAGTCTGACAAAGGTACTGGTAGGAAGCCTGGAGCTTCAGCCCTGCCCCTCACCCTGTCTCCAGCTCCCCCTTCCCCTGCCTGGCTGTCCCCACCTTTCCTCCCTGACCCTCTCCCTCTGCTGCACAGCCTTCGTGTCCAAGCAGGAGGGCAGTAAGGTAGTGAACAGACTCCGGCGCTACGTGGGCCATGGACTTGGGTGAGTGGGAAGGAGGTGCTGTTTGCCTTCCACATTGGTAAGGAGAGGTTGGGGGGAGGGTCCCCCATGAGCTGCCAAGGGCTGTACAGTGCGGCGGGAGAGGGTGTGTGTACCACATGTTGGCTGATGCCTCCATTTGGTGTTTCTCAGAGCCCCAGCCCCCTACCCAGACCCCTTGGAGCCCAAGAGGGAGGTGTGTGAGCTCAACCCCAATTGCGATGAACTAGCAGACCACATCGGCTTCCAGGATGCTTACAGCCGCTTCTACGGCACCACTGTTTAGGGCAGTCTCAACTTCGGCTACGCCAGGATCCGACCCTCCCTGTGTCCTCTCTGCCCTGCAAGTGTGGGTGGCACAGCTGCTCCAATAAAGTCCAGATGAGAAACTGAGCTCCCGTCTGTCCATTGTGGGGTTCAGGGGGTTCAGGGGCTCCCCTCTGTCCATTGTGGGGGTTCGGGGGTGGTGATGGGGGTGGCGGAAGCGCTCACAGTCAGTCAGAAAGCTACAGTCCAGTTTATTGTACTGCTTTGTTGTGGATGGCACTGGAGGTGGCTTTGTAAAGTCCAGCAGCCCCCCTCCCCACAGTGACCCCCACCACATCCGCTATGTCACTGGGGACACATCCAAACATACGAATCAGCAAAGGCCTGGTCACAATGACAAGCAGAACAGGCAGCTCCTGTGTGGACACACAGTTGCTGACAAGGGGCCCAGTCTGGCCCTGGAGCAGGGCAGGTATGTGGTGCAGATGCCTCACAAGCACCCAGGATGACCTGAACTGAGCAGATCACGTGAGAGGCCCCACACCTCCAGCTCTGCCCCAGCCTAGGTACTTGTCCCCACTTGCTGCCCTTCACTGCCTGCTGCTGCTTCTCAGGCCCCGTCAGGGCTCCTCCACCTCCCTCCATGCCACTACCAGAGATGGGCTCACTGCCGTTTAGCCTGGAGCTCCTCTTCTAGTGGGCCACCCTGCAGCAGGGGGCAGCTTCCAGGGCTGCGCAGCAGAGAGGCTGTGAAAGCAGCGATGATGAGCAGGTTCCCGATCACTGCCAGGCTCAATGTGGCCATGGTGGCCTCCAGGCCAAGGGTGGGTTCTTGCATGGTCAGCCAGGCTCTACGGGATCCCATATCAACCAGCACTGCCTCCAGCTGGAAGTGGGTGCCCAGCACTGCACAGATGTGGAACAGCTGGTGGCTATGGCCTGAAGGGAGGGGTTAACTGGTTAGGCACAGAACCCTCACAGTTTTGAACAGATTGACCTGTAACCTGGGGCAGTCACCTGCCCACTGGGCCTGGGAAGGAGAAAACCAGATCCCTGAAGGTTCTGGAAGAGCGATTGGACTGAGCTGCATAAAGCCCTAAATTCTGTGATTACTGAGGGCTGGGTGGGGTGCAGTGGAGGGGGGACTGGGACATCCCTCTTGGCTAGGATACCTCATGTTCCAGTCTCCCTGCTCTGCCAGGCCAGCCTGAGCCAGGCTTGTGCTCACCAATATAGTCGAAGCGCCCAGGTGCCAGGCGCTCTGGCAGACGGGCTGCAAAAAGGAAGCCTGTGAGCAGAGCGCAGAGGAGGTGGTAGGCATGGCTGGAGCTCAGTGCCTCCTGCCCGCAGCTGTGGGTCCTGCCCCAGCACAGCTGCAGCTGGTAAGAGAAAAGAGAGCCGCTGGGTGCTGGGCACCAGGGTCCTGTGCCTGGAGAGGGCAGAGAGCTGAGCAGAGACTGATGGAGAGCCCTGGTGCTTACCCTGTAGAACAGCGGGAGGTTGTCAAACAAGAAGGGGTAGGCAAAGGCCGTGGTGCGCAGAACCTTGCTGAGCCTCGGGCTTTCTAGCTCTGGGAACCTGACAAGCAAGAAAAGCAGGTTGGTCTCCATCCCTGGGGTGAGTGCAGATCAAGAAGTTATTTTGGGTCAGAAGGGGGTGAAGGGCCTCGGTGGCTAAAAGAACATCAGGAAGCATGTGTTGAGGCATGCCTGTAACCCCAGCATTGGGAGGTAGAGGCGGGAGGTCAGCCATATAGTTCAAGACCCTGTCTCAGGGTGGTGGTGGTGCCCGCCTTTAGTCCCAGCACTTGGGAAGCAGAGACGGGGATATCACTGTTTTTGAGGCCAGCCTGGTCTACTGAGTGAGCTTCGGGTGGGTGAGTGGGGACCCTGTCTCAAACAAACAAAAGGAAGTGAGGAAAAAGGATAAATAAAAGGAAAGAAGGGAGAGGGGGGAAGGAAATAGGGGCTGGTGAGATAACTCAGCATGGTAAACACAAATATATGTAGTAAAAAATAAAAGAGAAAGCCCTCAGGACACAGGATCCTCGCCCCGTGTAAACGCCACGTCTGTTAAGTGGCCACAAAGAATAAAGACATCTGCCTTTCCAGGATAGCACACTGGCCAACTACTGGGTTGGGTACTGGGGTGGCTCAGAAGCAGTGCAGCAACCCACCGCGAGTAGCAGGAGAGGCCGGTGCACAGGAAGGAGTTGAGCGCAGCGGTAGGCACGAAGAACTGGTGCAGGCGACCGTGCAGCCAGGAGGCCGGCATGGAGTAGGCGGCATAGGGGAAGGCACAGCCTGCGGCGAGGTGCAAGTTGAGGCCTGCGAGCTCATCCTCTGCGCCCCACCATCACCCACTGCCCTCAGCTCACCCAGGCTGTAGAGGCTGAGCGCCCCATAGTCCAGGAAGTAGCAGATGTGGCGCGCACGGGGCGACATGGAGCTAAAGGTGTGCGCGCAGCAGGATGCGAAGGGGTAGAGGCAGGCGGGCAGTAGGAAGACCAGCAACGGTAGGTGGTACGGCTCCGCGGGAAAGCCCGAGCTACCCAAAGCCAGAAGGCGCCACAGGAAGTACCTGTTCCGGGCACCTGCTCAGGCGCTGGGACCAGAGTGCCTGACCAGTCCCTGCCCGCCTGGCACCCCGTCTGAACCTAAGGCAGAACCTTTGCTCACCAGGTGGGTAGGAAGTGAGTCCAGATGTTGACCGTCTCATTGGTCATCTGGAAGGAGCTGAGGACACAGTCTAAGGCTGAGCTTGTGGGGCGTCGGTAGCCAGACATGATGTTGTCTTCCCAGAACACCTGGAGGTGGTGGGGGAAGAGAGCAGAGGGGTCATGGTATGCAGGCCTATCCCCTGCATGAAAAGTGTCTGATAGCCTGGCTTTTAATCCCAGCACTACTGAGGCAGAGGCAGGCGTTCCATGAGTTCGAGGCCAGCCTGGTCTACAGAGTGAGTTCCAGGACAGTCGGGCTTCAGAGAGAAACCCTGTCTCGAAAAATAAAAAGCGTCTAGAAACAGGATCTCAGTTGTCCCAAGCCAAACTCAGTCCAACCCCTTTCTTACCAGTCTTCCAAACTCACAGACCCATACTGAGATTAGGTAGGATTGGGGAATACACATAGGGTGTTCTGCAGTAAGGGACTCTGGATGGAGGGATATTTGGGGCTTTGGGGAGAGGTCGCAGGTTCTATACTGCAATAGAGAGATGAGAAAGTTAGCTTGCAGGAGGAGCTTCCCTACAAAGAGGGAAGTCTTTGCCCCAGTGAGCCCTCTGGGGAGAGGCTAAGTTGGTGGGTTGGGGCCCCTCACCCGAGGGACCTGGTGGACTCGAAGAAGTTGAGGCAGCTTGAGACTGAGCATGGTGGCCAGGTATCTCCACGTTGTCCTGGAGATAGAACAGGGGTGGGTTAGGGATTGGCACCCAGCTACAGGTTTCTACAACCAGATTCAGGGTAGAGTCAACCACTGAGTCCAGGATGGGCTCCTACACGGGTAGCAGTCGGTGCTGGCCACAGCTGTTTCCCTTTCCCCTCCTGGACCTAGCCTGGGGCATTCAGTCCTGCCGCCGTGAAGGTCCTCAGCCTCTGCCGGCCGGTGTGCAGTAAAGGACCCCCAGCAGCAAGGCTGCCTCCTGTTAGAACCCCGTTTGGTCCTCAACCAGACTTCAAGGAGTCTTCCCCCCTACCCGACGCCCCAAAGACGGGCAAGGAATTAGGGGGTGCGCTCCTCTTTTCGAAGGAGACCACCTGTGCCCTTGAGAGTACTTGGGACCCCTGCCCCTCCTGGCTCCCGTGCCCCTCAGACCAGACCTGTGCGCCGCGTCCGGGTGGCCTCGGCTCCGCCTGCCCCGCCCTCCCTTCAGCCGCCTCGCCAAGCACATTCCTTGGCACCGGCGGGGGCAGGGCTAACGGAGTAGGCTGGGCCGCTGACTTAGACCCTTCCTCCTGCCCCAGGCTAAAACTTCCCAGCAAAATCCACCCTCTTTTCCTGCCGCCAGCTTGGCCGTCCGGGAGTATTGCAGGGCTCTTGAGGACTTAGTGTTAGTCAGTCTGTCTGTCCTGTGAGCTCGGTGCTAAGGACCTTGCCTAGTTTGACAGCACAAACCTTGTCCCCAGGCCCTTCATCCCAAGTGAAGAGGCGGTGTAGGAGAGGTGCCTATCCTGACTGCTGCCCCTCTCCCTGGGAAAGGCTGAAACGATTCTGGGAGGGGTCCATCTGCCGTCGCAATAGGGTCTGGAGATCTCCGCAGCAGAGAGGAATGCGAGGCTGGGCCAATACTTCATCTCCCAGAGACTGACCTGGCTACCAGCTAGGATCCTGGAGTGGCTGGGGATGTGGGCCATGCCTGGCAGGATGAGGAGACAAGGGGAAGCTGGGAACAATCTTAGCCTTGTCTATTAGTCTTGGAGTAGCACAGGGGTGGCCCAGTCCATTAGCAGGCAGCTCGCTTGGGCTCCTACACACCACCAGCCCTCAGCGTGAGTCTGGGCCCACTTGACAAATGTCTTGACCAGGACACCTGGTCCAAGTCCCCCAGGATCTGAGATTGCCAGGCAGGAGGCTCCAATGCCAACTTCAGCTGCATCTCAGAAGCCGTCCTTGCTTTGCTCTTGGCAAATGTTGGGCCACCTGTGAAGGGCATTACCAATCTATCTGATTTACCCTGACACAATGAGTTGCCAATTCAGCAGGGTGGGTATAAAGAACCTTAGCTTCAACCTCATTCCTTATTCCTCCTGCAGGACAGCACCCAGTTGGGAACACCCAACTAGGTCCAGGCTGCAGATTCATCAGTGTTCTGTAAACCAGGACTGGTGATGCTTCCTGTGCTCCCAGAGATGAAAGAAACCACCAAAAGTCCAAGGCCGGATTGGTTACACAGCAATTTGGAACTCTCTAAATCCCACGTGCTGGGGATACAGTTGGCAGTGATATGGAAGAGACACAAGGTGATAGAATTGATGTTATGACTCAGTAATAGATTCACCTAGGAGACATTAAGTAAACATGAGCGGAACTCAGCTACAGGAGCACTGGGAAGTACTGGGTGAGTGGGTGCTGGGATGTAAATGTTCGCTCTGATTCTCATGACAAAGGAGACAGTGACTAATGG